CCAGGGGCCCATGGGCTGGCCTCCCCCACCCCCCCCTCGCGGCTCACCATCCCAAGCCCCAGGCCGAATCAGCCCCTTTCTGCGTGCCGCCCGTCTGTTATTTGGCAGGTAAAGAAGCAATGCAGCATGGGCATGTCGGCATCATCCAAAGAACTACCCTCCCTTTCATCTCAACACTACACGACGCGCTTCGGATTGTGGTGCGGAGCACCCGAGTGATCGGATGTCGGAAGCCTCCCATGAAGGTGTTTCCTGGACATTGCTGAATGGCCCATGTCCAGCTGTGGCGTGCATCTTCTCGCATGGCTGATGCATATCATCCGAGATAGATGCGCTGTATGCGACGGTGATGTGCAGCCCGGCGGGCTCTTCGCGGATATCATTCGACAAAAAACGAGCACCAACATGGCCAACGGCGATAGTTCCAAAAGAGGCTTTACCCACCTACTCTACTGGGCTGCATCGGAACATCTTTGCGCTTGCAGCGGTTGCGCCGAGACAGGTGTTTTGTTACGGAGCTGCATGCTGATGGACTCGACCGAGCATCATGTAGCCGTCTGCTGCGAGTACACAGCAGACGGCTACATGCATCAAATGCCTCGTAACTCTCCAGGTATGTCGACTAGCGCTCCGGAGAATTGGGCCGGATCCCTGAGATGTCAGCCTCGATTTCGCGCACGTCCATTAACATCTCAACCCAGCTCGTGGACGCGAACAGCGATAACCCTCAGTCGGGCGAGGTTTTTTATATTGTCATAGAGGGTGTTTGCTCTCGCAGCCTGATCACCATAAGATGAGCGTCGATATTGTTCCTCCCATTCGGCTATTTATGCCCCTACAGACTGCCCGCTTTACACAGACTAGCCGTGTGACATATCATCTGCTCTTCAGCACTGCGGTAGACACGGGATGTGCAAGTAAGTACATTCCTGCTCGCTCTGTCCCATTCTCCCGTCACCCCCCTTTCATATCCGAGCTTCTAGTATGACAAACGTCCACCCGATCCTTCTATTCTAGTCATGCCCTCATCGTCACGCGCTTGCACAACCGCAGTGCCACTTCTCAACGTCTTCTCCAACCAATGCTCCCTCACGTGCCTTCCCTTTTGTGTCATGGATTTTGTCACAAGCAGCCATCGAGCCCAACCGTGTGAATCCTTAGAGCAATACGACCATGGTTCTGGCCATGAAACAGGACGGCCATTTGATACTAGGTTGGTATCGTCTACTGCGTGCGCAATGGGCCAGCCTACCTATATTTAAATAATGTCGACGCGTATCACCAATCTTCGCAGCCACTGCTCAGCCAGCGCGCTTTCTACAAGTAAGTGACACGAACATGGTCACAAACAGCAGCGTGATTCATATGAACAAACATCTTCACCTTCCTAAGGAACCCCCTTCACATGTCAACAGCACAAAAAGCCTCGACATCAACTCCGCACTCTCATAACTACAGGCGATGGTACCCGCTTCGATATCTCTAGTCAATCTACCCCTTGAATTGATCTACGACATCAGCGACTTCCTTCCACCAGACGCCGTCCTAGCACTGAAGCTAACGCACCGCAACTTCAACTCCATCCTGCCGCTCGACTCGAAACTCAATAAGACACCGCTCTCAGACTGCGCTCGCCTTGCCACTCGAACCTATCTCTCCAAGCCGAGTCCCGAGCCCAGTCATCTTCGCTGCATCCTCTGCAAAACAGTGTATCCAGTCAACTTGTTCAAGTCATCCAGCAGTCCCGCTTGCATACCTACCTCGTTCACGGAAGATGTCCAGCAGACAGATGTAGTGGAACTACCACAAAGACTGTGCTCTTGGCATGTGAGCAGGCTAGCGCAGGTCGTACATACGGGACCAGGCGGCAGGAATCAGTGGACTAGCCATATGGAAGATATGTGCATGCACTGTGGTGCGATCCAGGCCTGGACAAAATGCGATTGTCGCTGCGACAGCTGTCCTATTCGACCAGTACGGACCTATACACGATACCTAAACAATCCGATTGAGTGCCGTAGGTTTCTTTTCTGGAAAGACAGGATGAGGCTGGATGGTCAGAATGTGCAGGACGGCGTCCATGGGCAGCTGATGGTCAGAGAGACGTGTTGGAATCCGAGTAAGTCAAGCTGGCCTACGAAGACCATGGAGACATGATGTCCGAGTGCTGATGTTTTCAGGAATACCAACACAAAATCACCGTCATCAATGTTCCAGTACGGTTCGAAGGCTGCTCCCAACCTGTCATGAAGGACCATATAATATGCTCTGCTATGAGCCGCCCGCAGAACGTGGTTGGTGCCCTTCTCGGACCGCCTCGCCATCTCTAGCACGCAAGAGAGCATCACCATTTTCAAATGATGCCTTAGAAGAGCAGTCCATGGCTGTGATCATGCCTCAGTTTCATTTATATTCCATCCCTAGACTCGTGTCTTTTCGTCCCTCGTAAAATCGTTCTTTGCGTCCAGCAAGCCCAGCTTCTCGACATCCGCTTTGGCCCTCAATCTCTGGAACTTCAGTTCCTTGCCCCATCGCCGAACGGTCCATAGTGCCCACCATTGCGCAAACATCAGGAGCAACCCGCTCCACGCAACGACTAGCATTACGTGTGTAAAAGTGCTTCGAGCACTTGACCAACCACTCCTCGTCCCAGCCGAACCCCGCATCAATGTCTCTGCATATCGCGCTCTCGTCTACATGCCAACTCGGAATGACCGGATTCAGAAACCCAGCGTCGAACGGAACAATGATGTTTACGAGGGCGAGCGTTACGAAGGATAAAGCGGTCGTGTGGACGAACGTGTAAGCTGACACGAAACTCGGAATCAACTGTAATGGCGTCACTTGTTAGCCTTGTGTTCAACGAGGTGTCCGAGCTTCATGGACGAAAAGCTGTCCGAGTGAAACATGGCGACGCGGTGGGGCGGATGCTTACCCTGACTGCACCGATCAGGCCCAGTATGCTTGCACACGCGGCGAGCGAGTTGTACACGAGCGACCAGAATGCGCGGTATTGCTCGCTGCCTGGCAGCGCGAAGGAGAACGCGAGAAGCGTGTGTGTGCAGAGTGTTAGGGTGGGGAGGACGATGGCGAGGAATCTGTCGTGGGATGTCAGAAGAGGTGGCACGGAATGAGAATGGAACGACATACCTCGTCTGCGCCTGCTCCTTTGACAAAACCATCCTTGCCGTCACTCAAATCCCGAAACCCGTGCGATGCGAAGTGTCGTAGTCCTCAATAGCAGTATCAAACCGCTGCACCGTCCAAAAGAAATACGTTGTCGTTAAAAGGTCGTGAAAGCAAGTGTGTGTCGTCAAAGCAAGGCACAGCGAAACGAAACTCAAGGGCGGGTGTCCGTCCCTTTCTTCAAGTAGGACTTGTTTTCCGCTCGCGTCAGAGCAACTTGATAGCTCGCCTGTTTTTCGCCGACTGGAAACGTTAATTCCGATCGCGCCGGATCGCTGCGGGTATGGAACGTCACGCCGCTTGCGTTCTGCTGACTTTGTGTAATGCACGGAAAGGAAAAGCAGCAATGCACGCAGATGCCGATGGGAACGAAGATGTATGTGTGGATTGGAGGAATGCCGAGGTCCAGAGATATGCAGTATCTCGAATTGAGCATCTGCAAGGTTCCTCGAGCCGTGGTGTACTTTTTTACTTACGATCTCGCGGGTTTAAGTGGAGACGGCGGCGGCGCCTGGCGGAAGGGCATCACGACAGCGTCATTATGGGTCTTTTAAGATAACGACCTGCTATCTATCCAAAGCTTCGTAAGCTTAAGCTTCAAAACTATTTTTTTCTTGGATGCATCATCCGACATGTCCTGTAAACCTCAGCTCAACTCCATCACACGACCTTTCTCTCATTCAGACACTTTTCGCACGCCATTTCCCTAACAAAACCCGCGCGTGATTCGTCACCATGCACATCACCACTTTCCCCATCCCTTCTTGCATAACAAAGTTTATTGCAGTAGACCAAGCTTCCTTGCCTAGCTCGCCAGTCCAGATGTCTGGATCGAGGGATCGCCGCGTGCATGTGATGTCAGGGCCGAAGCGGGGCGGGGTTTTCGGATGAGCTGGCGCGGGCGTGTCTAGGGTTGGCATGTGGCAGGACAGGACAGGGGGGCATGTGATGGCGCGTCAATGGGCACGTTTCCTTATTGAGTAGTTTTGACTACGTGTTTACTTGAGCTCGTGTATTTTCATCTTCTTTGGTCTTGGGTTCTTTCTCCATGTTCAACGATGTGAGGTTTGTGGTTCGGACGGGCGGCTTGAAAGTTTACGCGTGCTCAGATGAAGGTTAGTTGCGCAACTTCAATCGACACCACGACAGTACCAAAGTAAAATTTAAGGTTGTTCTTGTTGTTGTTCATTGCTATGTAAGTTGCGTTCCTAGGCACCAATGCCAGGTCGAAGATCCCATGCGCCATGTATATATCATAAATGCGATGCAAAGCCAACCGTCTAAGCGAAGACGTAGCAAGGGATACCGTACTGCAGACCGTTAGCTCTCTATTCTCCTCATAGAGCGAAAGGAAACTTCTTACGTTGGTGGGAGCGTTGAACTTCAAGTTCTTGTCAAGGTCTGAAATCTCAGCAATCTCAGACTCGGACATGTCAAAGCCAGTCACGTCCAGGTTCTGCTGCAGACGGTTCTGCGAGTTGCTCTTGGGGATGACGGACAGGCCGCGCTGTGTCGACCATCGGAGCAGGATCTGTGCGGGTGTCTTGCTGTGCTTCTCGGCGATCTTCTTGATGACTGGGTGGTCGAAGAGGAGGGGAGTGTCTGCGGCGATCTTCATGTCGCACTCAATGAATGACTGGGGACCGAAAGATGAGTATGCGGTGACCTTGATATCGTGCTCCTCCGCAAGCTTGATGAGGTAAGGCTGGACGTAGTATGGGTGGTGCTCGATCTGGAGAGTTGCAGGCTTGACCTTTGCGTATGTGAAGAGGTCAAGCAGGAGCGCACCAGAGTAGTTGGACACACCAATGCTCTTGGTCAGTCCCTTGGACTTGATGTCCTCAAAGGCCCTCCAAGTGTCCTCGAGCCTGGCCTTGCTGTGGATGACCTTGCTGTTCGCCTCGTCGGAGAACCAACCAGGTGGGTATCGTGTCTCGGGCGAGACATACTTGAGCGCGACAGGGAAGTGGATCAAGTAGAGGTCGAAGTAGTCGATGCCCCAATCCTTGAGCTGCTTCTTTGTGATGGGCTCGACTTGCTCGTAGTCGTGGAAGGTTTGCCAGAGCTTGGAGACGATGAAGAGATCTTCACGCTTCACGAGACCCTCCTTGATGGCGCGGGCGACACCCTGGCCGCATTCGACTTCGTTGCCATAATCTGGATAAATTGTCAGCCGTTGTCACGTTGGAGCTCGCGCAATCTGATGCAGATGAACGCGCTAACATCGAGCGTCATGCAGGGTTTCGAAGCCACCGGTAATTCCGATCTCTCGACAATTTGACGGGTAGGATCAAGCTCGTGCTCCAGGATCTGGCATACGGAATCGCTGGAGCACACTCCAAGTCTTGGTCCAACCATGACGAGACATTTTGCGCGCCAATGCACGTCTACGGATACAAGAAGAGACTGTACATACCACAGGCACCGTCGAACAACCTGTAGCCAGTCTTGATGGCATTGTATACAGTGTCCGCGCACGTAGCGTTATCAACCTTCCACAGGCCGAAGCCGACCTGGGGCATTTTGTTGCCATCGTTCAGCGTGATGTAGGGAGTGTTGACGGCCATTGTTGCGAAAAAGTTACGGTTCGAGTAGGTAGGTCGGAAGGAAGGCGCTTTAGTTCTAGATATGCAAGTGCGAACAGGAGGGAAGAAGGAGCTTCTGGGAACAACGGCAGTCGTGAAGGAGCGCACGGTATTAATACTCGTACGGCAAAAGCGACCGGCAACCATGTCCGTACAGTATTCTACCAAGTGACCACAAAATTTCCTGGCGTCAACCGTCTATATACGCCGCCCAGGAGGCTAGATGGATCTGACCCTGCGTCTTCAACCGGCAGACTAGGCTGTGCCTTGGTTTCTTACCTCGATTGGAACTGCATCCGCTGTTATTTAACCATGTGACGCCGCGTTCAGTGGACTTTGTCGCGACAGCATCTGCCGTTTCGACCCTTTCAACATGACAGCTTCGTAAAGATACCGACTCACGTCAATTGTCGGCCTAGCCCCTTCGACGTCCTGGATAATTCGCGGCTGTTCAACAGCTATCACAGCTGCAGAATCTTCATGCGAACGACAGCTCTGTGTTGCCGTGGCGCTGGCTATTTGCTTACAGGCGTCAATGCGGTGACGATGGAGGGGTTGGCTGGTGCCCCTCCATACCCACAATTCCGCCATGTAACGGATAAATTGCTCAAGGCACCGGATAATTGGTCTCATTCGTCCACAAAACCAGACCCTAAGCAGATTGGGTTGGTGGGGCGGTCTGCGTGATGGGATTTGTGGGATTTACCTGCATTCACGGAAGATATCAAGCGTCCCTGAGCTGCACGTGTTGGCCACTCCCGGTCAATGTCATCAGGGTCGAGATGAAGTACTATCAATCGACAAGCACGGTTGAAATGAGTCGAGCGGTCCCACGGTGATCGACGTTGGAGCGCATCGAAGAAGTGGAAGAGTTGCAAGAGACGTGTGATGGAGGGAGGACAGGAAATGCATCGCTCGGATCCACATAATGTACACTCTTTACAGGGTCTACCCACTGCTTCTTTACGATAAGCAATGATGGCGCGAATGTCTTGCAGCCAGTACCGGAAGGAGCTCAATGAAAACAGGTGGATACAAACATGGACCTTTTAGGTTTTGGATTCTTGTTACGCTACTTCAACACATGCAACGCTTGACTAGAGTCGATGCTGTAAGTCCAGGCAGATAAGGGTGTCGTACCATGCAGGAAAACGTCTCATCCGAATGCGTCTGTATCTTATATCACGCAACTGGCTCGATCAACTTCAATTTTGACCTGCGTCCTCTTGTTGATAACCAATCCCCTGTCTTCTTTGCGTTTTGGATTCATGTCTTCGTCCCCTCCAAAACTCATTGTTCGATCACCCACCCAGACTTCCCAATCTGTTCTTGTCACATCATCAATCGGTCTAAAATTGGCGTCTGCTTTCAAGATATTGGGTACATGAGAGGTAGCTGGGACAGGCGTCGTTGAAGTGGCAGGCGCATCCGTGGCTGAAGATTCTTCGATTGTATTCATTTCAGGGCCATCTGATGTTGTGACTCGACTGCCACGGCTCGATGGTATGGATTCCATGAGATAGCCCTCAGACTGCCATGAAGCCCGCTGAGGTACCGCCGACGCTCTTGTACTGCGGAGCGTATCTGGCCCTCGAGATGAGCTATGCCCATATCCAAACTTGCTTTTGGCATAGCTCGACTGGTACTCCTTGTTGAAGGGTCGTATAAACGGACCCATGCCAGTGATTGTTGAGGACATTATCGCATAACCCATTTGCCACTGCGTCGCCACTAAGTATTCGAATGTGACGGTCTTGCCGAGGAAGTGACGGTGGAGATAGTAGAGCCTTGTACCAGCAATGGCTATGACGGGTAATCGAGCGGAAAATGCGACGACCACGAAGATCTTAGACTTCAACTTCATTTGTAGTGACCAGACCATCTGACACGCAATGCCGAAGATGAAGGCTTCTGTTATGATGTCGAGTGAGCCGATTGCTTGCCATTTCGACCACTGCGGCAATTAACACATGCGGAAACACCTATCGAGATGGACTTACTCTGTTGGTACACTTTTCAGGGTGCGTATAGTATTGCGTTGGGTTGCATGGGACCACTATCAATATGATGGCTAATATAGCCCATACGAAAGAGGCTCCGAGAGTCGCAAATGTCATGACCTTGTGAGCCCCGCCCGGCGACAAGCGAACGTACAGGAATAGGACGGAGCATTTTGAGAGCAACAGAGTGCAGATATAGAAGATTTGTGAAGCAATGGCTTCCTAGAAGTTGTTAGTCAATGGTGCTCGGAAGGATCGTCTCTTCCATCCGCAAGCATGGGAGGGCTGACGAACTCCAGCAGGGTCCACGCTACGAATGCTGTGCACTCACCTTTCCAAATTGCTCCGCTTGCTCCGCAGATATCGCATCTCTTGATAATCCCAAGCCTAGATCGACTAAATGAAGAATTATGCCTGACTGGGCTGTGTGTACCAGCTTGTGCGGCGTCAGCGGACTGTGGCGGTGGTGCAACTGCGCGCACGTAGCATCTGCACACACACTTACCGTGGCAGTTGCCAGCAACCAGTCGTCAACTTTCCAGTCCCGTCCTTGGATTCGAAGCCATATCCTGATCAAAGAGCAGAGCCAAACAAAGGCTAAAACCAATGCTACTGTGACGACAATCAAGCCGCGCTTGTCATTGGCTGTAATTGTGAAGGGTGGAGGAATGACTGCCGTCGCCATGAGAAAGGATTGACAAGACTGATGTACCACAGGGGAGCCTTAATGGAATCCATGAGGGAATGAGATGCCTGCGGACAACCGAAAATCACGACACTTCTTAGTCTTGGTCCTGCTTTGCTCACTATACATGCACTCATACACAGCCTTCGCAACTCAAGGGGCTACCGAATCACCATCCGGAGCCAGTCCTTTTTAGATTACCACAGCCATGGAACCTAGTGCTTGTTGGGCACCATGTCGTAAACTAACGGAGTCTTTGAAGCAACTTGATCGTAAGCGAGGTCAAGTCGCGATGAGAGCGTTGACGTTGGACAAACCAGATGTCCAATCATGGCGGGTCTAGCATCCTCCGCGGCGTGCTATTTGCCGACATACCCGGTTTGGCGTCTGATCCCATCGCGTCTGTACACGAATGGCCAAGTCTTTGGAAATTTCGATTCCCTACTTTTGGATGTTCCTCGGCGCTGAAGTCAGAAGCCAAGGCCTAAAAGCGGCCTCAGTACGTCCGACACGGCAGTTGTGTCAGCAGCAGATCGATCTGACGATCTAATCCTGGTCTCTGTCCGTTCCACTTGCGGTCACGATTGCCCATAACGCAGAACGCGCAGTGAGCTCTTTAATGTGTCAAAAGAAAGCCACGTTCAGAGCCAAGGACCCAGCCGTAATACATCCCAGGGTGTGGGAGCGGGCCGCCATGCCCAATTGGAGAGCAGTGTCCACATGCCCGTCGCAAGCCTCTCCGCACGATCTCGTTCGACGAAACTTTCGGACGCAGCCTACGGATAAGGAACCTTGGCCGCGAGAAAGCCACGGCCCCGGGAGGCAGGCGGAGACACCATCTTAGCGTGCAGCAAGGTTGTCATCCATCATTTTACCCTGAGACATGTTCGAATGTTCTCTGCAGGACTTGTCACGTCAATTGATCGCTCTTCCTGCAGATCTCACGTCGCGCAGTGTTTCTGCACGTTCTTGAGCTATGGCTGCGTACAACAGCTCGGATTTGGCCACTATAGATTATGGCAAGGACTCAAGATTGAACATCGACAATGAGATCGCAGGCGAGGATTACCACGATTCTCTCAGAGGGCACACGAGGCAGGATCGCGCAGACATGCAGCGAATGGGAAAAGTGCAAGAGCTGAAAAGGAATTACCGACCACTCTCAGCACTCGCCTTCACTGTCATTCTCCAAGGAACGTGGGAGGTGCTCTTGACGTGAGTTCTTCTTATGAACACAAAGTCATCTCAAACTCACACCGCATAGCTCAACCTACCAAGGCCTTCTCGATGGCGGACCAGCTGGTCTGATCTGGAGTTTTGTGTGGACCTGGTTCGGCTTCAGTACCGTCATGTTGTCGCTGGCTGAAATGGCTTCCATGGCGCCCACGGCTGGTGGCCAATACCACTGGGTATCAGAATTTTCTCCTCCAAGTCTTCAAAAGCCCTTGAGCTTCTTCGTTGGATGGATGTCGACCCTGTCTTGGCAAGCAGGTACTGCTTCGGGACCGTTCCTTGTTGGTACCCTGATCCAGTCTTCTGCTGTCGTCATGTACCCGGATTACAGTCCCACGAAGTGGCAAGGCACGCTAATGGTCATCGCTGTGACTGTTCTTGTCTGGGCCTTGAACATCTGGGGTACAAGGGGTATGCCCATGTTCCAGAATGTCATGCTGGTCATCCACGTTTTGGGCTTTTTGACAATCATAATTGTCTTCTGGGTGTTGTCACCGAGAAACTCCGCGGAAGTAACCTTCACGCAGTTTACCAACAGCGGCGGCTGGAGTTCCATGGGTCTTACTCTGATGGTCGGACAGCTATCAGCCATCTACGCCTGCATCTGTATGTAGTTTCGACAAAATCTTTTGAACAGCAATCGCTAATACTGGCAATAGGCTCCGACTCTGCAGCTCACATGTCCGAAGAGATCAAGGACGCTGGTAAAACTGTTCCCAAGGCCATGATTGGCGCATACCTGATGAACGGATCTTTGGGCATAATCTTCCTCGTCAGCTACATGTTCATGGTCACCGATGTCGAAGCAGCACTCAACGATGCCAGCGGCTATGCGCACATCTGGGTGTTCTCCCAGGCAGTTGGAACGGGTGGTGTTGTCGCACTAAACGCCATTCCAACCGTGCTCATTTTCGCTGGAACGCTGACCTACAACTTGTCGACCTCGCGTCAAACATGGGCTTTTGCTCGTGACAAGGGCCTTCCTTTCAGCAGCTGGATCAGCACTGTCAACAAGAGACTAGAGACTCCTGCGAACTCTGTCACCGTGACCTGCATGATCACCATTGCGCTCTCGCTTATCAACATTGGTTCTGATGTCGCCTTCAATGCTAGTAAGTTCTATCACATCCACCTAAAAATCGAGATAAATCAGGGCTGACAGTCTTGTAGTTATCTCTCTCAACGTCGTCTCCCTCATGATCACCTACGTTATTTCCATCGGAGCCGTCCTCTACCGGAGAATCAGACACCCCGAACTCCTGCCGAACTGCCAATGGTCGCTCGGTCGCTTGGGCGTACCAGTAAACGTGGCCGGCATGACTTACTCTTTCTGGGCATTTTTCTGGTGCTTTTGGCCTGAAGGCACGCCGGTCGAGGTTTCGTCGTTCAATTGGGCTGTGGTCATGTTTGTCGGTACGGCTGTTGTGGCAGCGGCAGATTATGCTATTCGCGGAAGGAAACAATACAAGGGTCCTGTTGTGCTTGTTGAAGGGTACAAAGGAGAATGACGCTGGGGTGAGGCTAATGTCGCGATGGAGGTGGAAAATGACGATAGTGATATAGAGGGCGAGGGCATCGAGTTACTTGCCATGCATCGTGCTTGATATCTGGCAGTTGGCATGCCTGTTGGCATGTCGGCACGTACATTAGATATAGAGTAATGAACATTCGGTATGTCCAAGCCTTACATCAACTGAAGAGATTTGTCATTGAAGTTCGAAGTCCTATGAGTATTCTATATGACTATCGGTTACCAAGGTGATTCCGCCTATCCCGAAGAAACTTTCCAACTACACAATGTTGGCGCAAACTTCGAACCAGTATGCCTCTATACATACATCCAGGAGTCGTCAAGCATCCAGATTACGTCTCTTTTGTGTCAGCACCAATAACTCCTTTCGATTCTTCAATGCTGTCCACTGCACGCTCGCTACGGTAACTCATTTCATTCTTTACTAGCCTAGTCGACAGCGGCACACCATCCTCGTCCTCATGCTCGGAATCTTCGGAATCTTCGGCATATGATGTTATGAGGTACAAATCATAAAGTTGAGGGTCGTTCGATATGTACCTTGTGCCTTTGGTCGAAAAACTGTTTTTTTTCCGCGGCTTGAAAAAGGACATAATCCAGTATTTAACAGACATGATGAATATGCGAGTACAGGCGTGTTGGTGAAACGATGTCAAACGCAATAGTAACGGACTCCAACGTTTTATATCTATGCTGAGAATACGATGACGCATCGTAGCAAAGATTCACAAAGAGCCACTGGGGATACTTACGTATGACTCTAGGTGGTAGATAGTACTGAATGATGAAATGCGCAAAGTCATTGGTGCCAAAAAATGAAACGTAGACACACATATTGGAACAAAAACGTTGATTTGCACCTGTGCTGCCTATTTTCAATACGTCCTACATGCAAGCATATAGAGCCTTGAAAATTGTTTAAAATTTAGACGAACTTAAGCCCAAAATCATGATTTATCTAGCTAGTGTCACAGGAAAGGAACTTGCACTGACTTACCGTCATTTTTATGTTGTTGCTCAGAGATGGAGGTGCATTTTCGTGTAATTTGTATCTTCTCAGTTGCATTCTTGACGGTTAACAGCTGTTCGCTGGCAGAACTCTGGCGCCAGACCGCGCCTTAATGGTTGCATGAAAAGCCCATGTTGTTTTTTAGATAACAAATGTCAAAAATGTAAGGCTTTGTGGTAAGTACAGAGGTGAGGTTGGCACAGAGATCTTTGAGTCTATTCCAAACCTCAGCTGCGGACCGATTCGCTGCGTCTTCAAAGCCCAATTCCCCGGAAGCGTTAACTAAATTCATCGCCAATTTTAACCCTCAGCTACACACTGCACGCAATGCAGTTTTACAAGAGTCAGGAGGCTGCTCTAAAGGGTAGTCAGTGCGTCCCTTATACTAAGATATCACAACTTATCTCGAACCGCGCTCTCGCAGCCCTCTATCTCCTTATGATGCGAATGAACTACCTCAGCGTCAAGGATATTCAAGCGCACGTCAAGAGTCAATTGGAGGCCAAGAATTTCGTATCCGGAGTCATGGATAACCGAACCAGGCCACCCACTGGAACGAAACCTGCTCGAAGCTACGCAATTTCATTTCCTTCAAGATTGCGTCGATCATTAGATATCTGCAAGGCACAATGGAGGCGAACTCATCAGGGTGTATTAGAGGAGTATAGAAGCAGGGTAAAGTGAAATGATAATCTGCATGATGTCAAGCAAGCCTCAGTGTGGAATATGGAGCTAGGGTTCAAGTCTCTTTTTGCTGGTATATCGATCTTGGGGACTGATTATCGGTGGAATTCGGTTATTGCCAAGTGTGCTATAGGCTATGAAACAGCATTTACTACGCACGATTGCCCGCTTGAGGGTTGAAGCGAGGAAGCATCATATGCTCGAAATTCTGCGTGACGACGTAACTTCGACGTCTCGTTTCAATCGCCATTTTTCCTTGCCTTCAAATATACTTCTTAGTCCCCCCATCCACTGTCTCCTTGACCCCCTTCAATGGCTCCAACGGCACCGGCGTCGAATACAACCCCGGCACCCTCGCCGCCACATACACCTCCTCGCACCACTTAGCCTCCTTCTCCTTTGCCGCACCCTTCATTTCAAAGTACTTGCGCGCAACCACAAGCGGCGTCAAGCTCCCAAACTTCGCTGCGTAGCCCGTCACTGCCCGGCAATTATACGGCACGCTCCGACAGATGCTGTCGGCGTAGCCGCCGAGCTGGCGGTCCCACATCATCAGCTGCTTGAGCTCGAGATGGCGGTGTTGGCGTAGGAGTTTGAATGTGTTGGATTGCAGGATGAGCATGCTCATCCAGTAGATGAGGTAGCAAATGCCCGCACCGAAATAATGAAAGTCGAAGACGGGGTCAAATACGCGGTCTGCGCAGATGTCGAAGAAGGTCGGGAAGGTGGAGAGCGGGACCATGTCGTAACGCGGGCCGTTTTTCTCGAAGTTGGAGAGCCATGTGAAGGCGTGGGCGACGAGGGCTTCCGAGTCGGCGATTAGTGAGGTGATTTGGTCGGGAGGGTTTCCGGCTTTGGCGAGGTCGTCGGTGCGCTCGAGGAGCCGCGGAATGCCTATGCATACGTCTAGAAGAGCGACATAGGGGTCGAATCTGGCGGCTTTTACTGTGACGGCTAGCCATTCGGGACTATCTAGCATGGATGCTTTGCGCATGTGGTAGCCGATGCTCAGCTGGGATTGTTAGACATTGTTCACTGGGTTGGGACGAATGGACTTACTGAGTTATACCGTATGGCATGATATATCTGAAGACTCAGTCTGCTCTGGAAAGAAGATGGGCCGCGCTGTTTTAAGAGATGTAAGAGACCCTGAACATGATAAAAGAAACCGTGCCCTTGCGTGACGCCAACAAAAACCTCATATAGGGTCAGTAGATATGTCGATAGTAACGTTTCATCCTTCACAGCCGTGGCTGGATCTTGGATTGCTTTGAGCATCTGACTTAATGCTGTGCCGTATAGTGAACGCGACCGATTGATCAGAGGATAATTCCTGTTCTTTACGGCGAGCTGTGCGGCAGACAAGGCGTCCACTGCAGCAAGCAAGACTTCACTATTTGCAGGCAAAGTGGGCAGTGCCAGCATCAATGCTGAAGGGGGAGGTAGTGCAGGACCATCTGCGGTGGGGAGATATAGTGCAATGAAGGTGCCCACATGTTGAATGCGATCCGCAGCTATGGAGCTGACACGTTTTGGTAGCGTCGTATCGACGGGCTTTTCCTCCGCAGACGGACGACGAGATACCGCCTGTGAGCTTCCGGGCGATGTAGTCTGAGTAGCCGGACTATGATTCGCATACTTGTATCGACTTTCGTCCTCTTTGATGAGTTCCGGTTTATCAGTCTGCTCGTCGAATCTGTGAAGGATGAATGACTGGGTCGGCCTGTAGCCCGGGCATTTCGTCCCACGCCTTAAACAGATGTTGCATTCCGGTTTCGTCTCATCACATCGCACCTTTCTCTGCACGCGACAGCATTAGTGCTTCGGTCAGATGTATATTGGTGGCTTGCCGAGCTCGCGTACCTTTCTGCACTCAAAACAGCCTGTGGATCTCTTCGGCATGGTCAAGCGAAGTGCGGGGCGTCGATCACATGCAGCGTGGCGGCCAGGCGCTCAAAGGCGTCGACGTATGAAAGTCGAGGGACGGCTTCCTGATGGCGAGTGTATGATGGGTATATGTCATTGCGAGTTTTGCGGAGGAAGGGCATGTGAAGGGGGTCGAGAATAGCTGCGGGCACAGCCGCTAGACGTGTCGTGACAGGGCCAAGCAACGACCTTGTATCCATAGGGTGGCCAATAGCTGTCAACGGGTCTAGAACCTTGATCTCTAGTTCTGTGATTGCGTCTGCATGCTGAGGCGAGTTGGGAAAGTCCGATGCAGGTCGAAATGCCGAATCGTGCCACGCGGGCCTTTGCAATGAACACCGGCGATCTGTCTCGTCTATAGGGCAATTGCTCCGGGAATTTGTCGAATGTCCGGCATGGAAGGTGGCGTGGTGACGGGAAGTTAGATTTGTTCGCCGTTCACTGCAAGGTTCCAGGGGCACAAAGAGCGCGGGAAGTACTCCGCATCCACAGGTCGCCGAGCAGTACAGCCACTTCCACAGCTTCCCAATTGAAGACCTATGGGCGAAGTGAGGGGTAGAAAGTATTTGAGACGTAAGAAATGTATGTTGCTGGATATGTAGTTGATAATGACGTGACATTCGAATATTGAGAATATTGCGACGTTCATTAGCCCATGCATGATCGACGACACGTCCCCAGCTTTTTTTTTATGCAAGAGGGACTCAAAGTAGATCATCCGAAAATCCTTCCACATCCACGACAACGCACGTCTTATACTGCAACATCAATCACAACAACAAACCCTCAATTACTGATACAGCACATGTGGCGCTATCCGATGGAAGCTTACTGCGTGGCGGCCTCGCTTATGCATGCAGCCTTGCGAGAGAATGATGATCATCAAGTGCACAACATCAAGTCTATTGGATGGCTGATTGAGACGAGTCCACACGCTTGCATTAGGATTGTAGGCGGCGCAGCTCGAGCAACGACCCGATGAACAAGTGGCGTTGATCGGAATGCTTATTTGCACGTCGAATGCATGATAGCTTCGGGCAGGTAGCAAAGTGACGAGTTTGATGATTAGGACTGCGAGATGGTCTGGTTGCATCACGTGAGACTTGAAATCAAAAGAGAAATACTATGTGCTGTATTACTTGCATTTTGATTTCTGTTGATACATATTCCTATTCCGTGCGCGCATGGTGAAGACCCAGAAGAAAATTCGTCCTCGCTCCTTCGCGATGAAGCCTGCTGATGCCGTATGGACTTGAGATCCATTCCAACCCTGAACGCCTTGCTACTAGAGCACATTTCTGTCATCTCATCTGCGCCAAGCTGAGAGCTACGAGCTACGAGCTCAACCAAGCCTGTTCGACCCTATTCTGCTTTCATCGATTGTTGACCGGCGTGAAGGCTGCGTCCGTCATCTCCGTGTCTCCATTCTGCGGCGCACTCGATGGAGGGGGCGGCTGAGCTCCCGAGTACGCTCGTTGCCGCCCTGCAACCTCGGTGTCGGTGTCAGCCGCAGGGGTAGGCCGCTGCTCGTCATAGGCGGGATCGAAGTATTGTCTCGTGGGTTCCGGTGCGCGGCTCAACGAGGGCTGGAGGGGTGGAAGCGAGTTCAGCGGAGGTAGAACGGGCGCGCCATTGATGGCATGGGGAGATGTGCCTGGTGCGCCAATGGTGCTGAAGTAGTTGCCCGACACGCGTCCTGGATCTGGTGTGCTTTGCGCACTGCTCATGAGGTTGCCCTGTAGGACACTCTGATGCCCGCCGACTGCTCCAGCGGGCGGCGTGCCCTTGCGGTTGTGGCTTCTCTTACTTCGCAGCGGCTTGTCGGTGGGTGTGGGCGGCGGCGAGCTACTACGGTCGCTGTCGTCGATGTTGTACTCCATGTGCTTGTTAAGCTGTTCAAGAAGGAAGGCGCGCTCCAGACGCATCTTCTGCACGCCCCGGTTCAAGCGCAGGATGCGTTGGCGGGTCGAGTCGTTGGACTCTTCGATGTCGTTGATGCGGCGACGAATGTCGATGCATTTGCGGTAGTATGCGCCCTCAACCGACGGAGGGAGGTCCTTCTGCGAGTGCGCACGTGCTGCTGCGGGGATTGTTAGCTGTGATGTTCAATACCAGTGTGGACGCAGATGCGACACGCAGGGGAGTGAACAATCAAGTGGCAGAGCAACGTACGTTGTTGAGGCGCCATCATGGACTGTGGTAGAGATGTCGCAGACTACTGGTGGGCGATGAGAGAGGATACCAGTCGGCGTTAAGCTGGTTGGGTCGTAGGCGCAAGTCTGGGAGAATTGTCGTGTTGAGGTGAAACTGCCCGACGCGGTGATGCTTGAGCTCGACGCGCTTTAGCGCCGAGGATTTCCCGAGCCGAGTGGCTTGAATCACGAATGGAGTCGCTCCTGCTTCCTCACGACGGACGTCACGTAAAGCATGTCTTGTTCATAACAACGAATTGATAACGCAACATCTCGGTCAGCAATCAGGGCAATGTACCGAACGGATACGCCGTCTCTGCAAGGGGAGCTTGCAAGCACAGCCACAGGCTCTTGAGAACATGCCCACCAGTGGCTAGGTAAATCTAATTTTGGGATGCGCAACAAAAGCGTGGCCCTGGAAGCGAAGCGCAACTGGCAGTCATTGCCGATCTGATCATGCAACGGGCGGCAGACACGGCGCATAAATCGTCATAGTAGGCACAGAGGGATGGATTGAGGATATATAGCCACACTCCGAAGAGCTTAGCAAGAGAAGGTAACCAGTATGGCCAAAGTGTGCCTCCAGGCAGTCCAAGAAGTTAATCCCACTTCATCACTCATCGCAGCCGTTTCGGAGCCGTGTCGCCGTCATCATGTGTATCTTATCCAAACACCAAAAGCACCAATCCTTTACTTCTGCATCATAAGCTGGACGAACTCGTTGTCTGTGTCCATGTTAGCTGTAATTCTGCGAATGCCTCGTGGGGCTTCTCACAATCAATGCGGCCGTCACCGTCCTGGTCAGCCTCCCGGATCATCTCGTCGACCTCATCGTCGGTCAACTTCTCGCCGATGGAGGTCATGACGTGGCGGAGCTCGGCAGCAGAGATGAAGCCGTTGTTGTCGCGGTCGAAGACCTTGAAGGCTTCACGGATCTCCTCCTCCGAGTCGGTGTCCTTCATCTTGCGGGCCATCATTGTGAGGAATTCTGCTGCGGTTAGCCGCTTTGCTTGCCGGCGCTGCTGTGAGCGGTCTGCGCACCTGGGAAGTCAATGGTGCCGTTGTTGTCGGCATCGACCTCGTTGATCATGTCCTGGAGCTCAGACTCGCTGGGGTTCTGGCCGAGCGAGCGCATGACGGTGCCGAGCTCCTTGGTGGTGATCTGACCTGTATCGCGTCGCTGTCAGTCACTGACTCCTGTAGACATGTTGTGGTGACGCGGCTGCGTGGGGCACCCTGGCCGCCAGCCTTCATCTTGAACGGCAGGTGCGACGCTGCTTCTGAAAAGAGGAGGACGTGTCGTTTTCGCTTGCGAACATGATGTTGGGATATTGGGAATGGGCACTAACCATCGCCATCCTTGTCCTGTTGCGAAGCGGTCAGTCATGTGTATTGACGAAAGAGGCATCCCAAGTGCGCTAGGCAGCAAGACGGCAGGCACGGAGGGGGGACTACTTACAAACAGAGAAAAGGCTTCCTTGAACTCGGAGACTTGCTCCTCGGTGAGAGAATCAGCCTGCGGCGTCGTGTCAGTTGTGCGCGGCAATGCGTGGTGAGGCTATCATGATGTTTTGCAGGGCGGGGTATGGGAACAGGAGGACAGCGGACAGCGCGGGGTCGGACGCACCATGTCTGATGTGTGGGGGTGTGAGAGTTGACGGGTGCGAGTGGGAAGCGTGGCAGGAGACTTGTTGGGGAAAGCGACTGAGCAGCGCTTTGTAGGTGAAGTGGGTGTGGAGAGTAAAGGGAGCGTGCAGGTGTTTGCGGCTGGAGGCTTGGTGGAGCAACTGGGCAGGGCAGCAGGGCACTGGTGTCAGACCGGTGCTTAGCGCAGAGCCCAGCGGGCCCTGCTGTTGGGAAGGGGCTCATTAGACCCAACACAGCAAGGCGCGATCCGCGATCCGCCCAGGCCGCACCTGGCATCACCGACTTGCGGCTCATTCACACCAAAAGTCCGCTTGCTACCAGCTGCAGAGTCAGAGTCCCAGCCCGCACGCGTGCCCTACGACCGCCCTCCAGCGCCATCCTACCATGATATAGCGCCCCCGCGGCTCGCCAACCCAGCCCCAGCATGTGGCGGGACCGGACCAACCTGTACGCTCAAGCTGCATGCGACACCCTGGCCAGACCTCGCTGACGTAGCTCTGTAGCTTCATATCCTACCGCCAGTCGTATGCGCACCACCCCCAGAAGAAGACGCGGTATGGCGGACCGGGCTCCAATGGCTTCGGCGACGACAGGCGCATGCCCGAGGAGCGCCAAGGGCTCATGTCCGCCGGTGCCTACGACGACGACGGCGATGCCGTCATTGAGATGGACCTGCTGCCTCCGCGATGGCTCGACGTGCAGGACGAAATCACCGAACAGCTCGCCCAGATTGCGAAGCAGACACGCAAGCTCGATCAGCTGCACCAGAAGCACGTGCTTCCCGGCTTCGACGACGAAGACGTCAAGAAGCGCGAGGAGCGCGAGATTGAGCTGCTCACGCAGGACATCACAAAGAACTTTGTCAGATGCCAGTCGGCCATCAAGCGCATAGACACAATGGTGCGCGAGGCAAAGCAGCAGGGCAACATCAACCAGGGCGGCGAGGAGACCATGGCCAAGAACTTGAAGATATCCCTAGCTTCGCGCGTCAGCGAAGTGAGCGCAATGTTCCGCAAGAAGCAGTCGGCATATCTGAAGAGTGAGTGCCACTTGCTGTTCTCATCAATTGCGCCGCTGACATGTAGCCAGAAATCCGCGATCTCGGTGGCTTCGCCTCGCCCTTCCGCTCCGCAACACCCGTCCAGAATCCCTACAACGACCCGGCCATGCAGGAATCAGACGCGGACCGCTCTTTCTCGCAGGCCACGCTCCTACAAGCCAAGCAGCAGCGCCAGCGACACGACCCCAACGAATCTCTCATTGCCCAGCGCGAGCACGAGATCGAACAGATCGCACAAGGAATCATCGAGCTTGCAGGCATCTTCCAGGAGCTGCAGAACATGGTCATTGACCAGGGCACTATGCTCGATCGCATTGACTACAACGTCGAGCGGGTCAACAGGGACGTGAAAGAGGCGGACAAGGAGCTCAAGGTGGCTTCAGGATACCAGAAGCGGAGCATCAAGAGGAAGATCATGTTGCTCTTGGCCATTCTGATCGCCGGAGTCTTCATCCTCCTGTCGCTGAAGCTTAGTCGCAAGGGCGGAGATTCCTCGGCCCCAGCCGTTCCAGCAGTCCCTGACACACCGCCTGAGGCAAACCCACAGACTCGGCGCGCGTCGACCTCTCCAAGAACAAGTCGCAGCTGGCACCGACGGAAGAGAAGGCTATGGGATGCACCGGGAGACGATCCGCCATATTTTCGAGGTATTGTTCAATTATAGCCTACTTACTAATAAAGTCTTACCATACATGTATTCTTACGTGTCTCTCGATACTGTGCCGCTGATAACGACAGTGATGATTCTCCGGTGGATACAATGATGATCTAGTTGTTGTGAAGTAGAGGACACCATCATTCCGGACGATTGAGGAAAATGCTGATAATATCGCCGCCATCCGCAGGAAGGTGGTGCTCCACAACCCTTGCCCAGTGCAACTGTTGAAAGAAACGACTTCCTCATCCCGTCCGCAGCGCAATTCTTTGTTTCTGCAAACGTCATGCTTCGCGTCGTACACGATCATGCTGACAATCAAACAAAGGCGAACCCCTTCACCTAAGGCGCATCCAATGTTCCAAGGCGCCTTTTAATTTCCCACAACTGTATACGCACAGCTACTACTCGCAACAATTTCCCTGGACATCATATAATACCCTACATTTCTCGCGTGCGCTCGGATAGCGTCCAGATCCTTCCGACAATGGTGAAAGTAAAGGATTTGAATTATCCGCCGTACGAAGCCAGAAACCCAGAACGCTGGCGCCTCCCGAACACTATCACGAAATCAATCTGTCTTCTCGCTGGTCGCGAAGCCAGCACTGCACTCCGCATTGCACTTGGGGGGCACGTTGCTGCGAATGCAGCGCACGAGGCTACTTACTACGAGCCATTTACATACTGGGACTGGCATGGTGTAGCACCAGATGATACCTATGCGCGGGAATACAAGAGACAGCGCATGTGGGAGCACCATGGAGGCTTTGAGGTTAATGGATTAGCTCATGGATATCCGACTCCAAGAGAGAGGTGGGAGGCGTTTAAGAAGAATGTGGAGATGGATCGCAGATGGGTGAAAAAAATTGCCGTCGCGCATTGGATGGATATACATGATCTGGATTGGTACATCTAATCTGACCCCGACTGTTCAGAATCCTATGCTAATTTGCGAGGATAGGATTCTTACCGAACTCAATGAACTCAAAGGCTTAGACCTAAGCGACGCACCCACGAGCAAAGCAGGAGTGCAACATCCTTGGGCCTATCTTATCAAGCCAGTAGCAGACTGGGACAGTCTCAGTCCGCCCCTATCCATAATCACGTGGCTGGGTGTCCCGGACTGTCGCAATTCGATCAATAAATTCGCCCTGGACCTTATTCAGGTACTCTTACAACGCTGCACTAGCCTTCGGACCTTGTCGATACGAGGGAGACAGTCAGAAGGCAAGCCAGTGAACGCTCACGACTACGTCTGCAAGTTGCCATATATGATTGCGACGCATGTTCCAAAAAGCGTAACGACACTCGAGCTTCGACTTCCATTCCCGCACCTCGACCGCCTCGCCAATGTTTTGAGAGATAGTAAATCGTCTATCAATTGCATTGGGATCGATTTTGGGGCATGGGTGCAAGAATATCCAAAGAACCCTGTTGCAACGAACGAGCTTAGAAAGTACGCCATCAAGGAGGCTGCTATACTTGCAGCACAAAAGGCTCGCTTCGAAGCATACGAGAAAGTGCACACCGAGATACTTGGAGCTGGAAAGACATGGATCCTAGATCAGTCTCAATTTGGCCAAGGACTGGAACAAGACTATTTGGAACATGCAAAGCACGCCTTTGAGCATGACTTCTATGCTCAGGAAAGCGGTTCGGTGTCAGTCTCTCTCGACTGGGCATTACAACCTGGGGGCTCGAGGTGTGGGTTAGAAAAAGCCAGCCATCACAAAGACTTGTTCCACTATGTCGAATTCACGGATGACAGCACATTACCTGCGATGCTAAGCGGACTTCATCAGTTCGGCAGAGCGCATAAGGATATTGAACTCTTCACATTGAAGCCCGAGTGGCAAGAGAAGAGCATGGATCCTGTGCATCCGTTTGCGTTGGTGCAGGCTGGTGCACCTTCAGACGCAACTTCGATGTCTAAAGTCTACCAGTGGCTTAACAGCACGTTCAAATGGCGACCGATATTTGATTGGGACAGCTTCCCCGGTCCAACCCCCAAAGGTTCTCACGAAGCCTTACTTCAACGATGGAACCTCGACCCAAAGCTGAAACCCGAACAACTCCTCGACACAATCTTAACACAATTCAGCCTCCTTAACGACACCAATATACCAATCCACATCCTTCTCGGCCGCCGGCACCCAGACAAACCAAGCCTGTACTGGGTCACCCCCACCTCCCCTCCATCCACCATGGAAAGATACCTCAGAACATCCTTCGAATTCAACCTCAAGCCCATTGCGCCCCTCATCTCTACCTTGTCGATAATATACGACCTTCGCAGCCCCATATCTACCAGCACCACCCCCTCCCTCTCAACAGTAACCTGCCCCCGTCCCATCTGCCCATGGCACAAAACCTGCCCCTTCCCCATCCACTCAACATGGCCCACTTCATCCCTCACCTCCTCCTACGCCAAGCAAAAAATGGCAAACAGCAAACCCATAAAGATGGCCGACCCGAGTCTGCCTGACCTTGCGCCCAATACCGCTTATCTACCACCTACAGGGCCACCTTTCCCAATATCCAGAACACGAAGAAACCCTGTCTATTGCGAGAAGAAACTCCGCTTTCGCTCGCGAAGCCATTGCGTGGCAGAGATTCTGGGCCGAATATGCGTCACGGCTCACGGGGCTGGAGACGCTGAATGTGCGCATGCCGAAGGCGTTTGATAGGACTGGGAGTATTAAGCTTGCGGGGTTGCTGGATGGGGAGAAGGGGTGGGCAATGAGGGCTTGGGCGGATGAATGTGCGCTTGCGCCGGGGTGGAGTGTGAGAAATGGGGTGTTGGTGGGAGATGAAGAGGAGGATGGTGGAGGAGGGGAGTTTGTTAGAAGGTGTTGGGTTCGGAGGGGATGAGGATGTGGAAAGGAAGAAGGATGAGATGAAGGAGGAGAAGGTGGGAAAAAAGAGGAGGGGGAAGCGAGGAGCGTTGAATGAGAGAGATAGATTTTGTAGACGAGCCCTGGGGATCGGATGGTTTCGGAGACACCGATATGGACATGGATGTCTTCAGAGGGCCGTACGCGGGCGAAGCAGTCATGGATTTTGACGAAGCGCCTGGCCACGATATGGACTATGACTACCCCTACGCTCTCGAACGGGGTGAAGAATCCATCGATGACCCAGCATTATCGGAAGCCGACTTGACCATCGACGACATTGCAGAAAAAGATAAAGAGGAATTGCAAATGGCTGTTGATCGGGCTGTGGAAGCAGCAGATATTGTAGAGCGGCTGGAGGCGAGTAATACTTCAGCTCCGAAGACGGTGACGGAGTTGGAGAAGAGGTTGGGGACAGTGTATGGGAAGAGGGTTAGGAGGGTTGCAAGGCATGTGTGGCAGGAGAGGATGAAAGAGTATTTGCGAGAGATGGAGGCCGCGGACTCGAACGTTCTCCGAGCAACGAGGGCGGGGTTACAAGCTAGGCTGGCACACTTCAGACCGGAGGATATATTTGTGGAGGATGATGAAATGAAGAACGGGATCGGCCTCGTGAAGCAAGAAAGAAACTTCGCGGCTGAAGAGCTTGAGAGAGGTCCCGAGAAAGGCCCTCAAGATATTGTAGTCAATGAGATGCAAGAGTTGGACGAGCTTAACAGTTTATTTAATTCGGACGTAGATCATCCCGGGGAGCGGCCAGATAACACGGACGACGAGGATGGCAATTTCTACGGACGCACGCCGCCAGCGACATACGTTGAGCCGGTGGATGTTGTGGATCCAACTCCTCCACACAGTGAAACGCTGATGACCCCTAATCTTGACGATATTCTCTCAACACTTCAAACGCACGGCGGTGCACTTACCCATCCTCACCCGCTACAGGCTGTCCTGCAATCGATAGAAGTCAGCGAGACGCAATCCGCCGTCACACAGCCAGGCTCTACAACCGTCGAGAAAACGACAAGTACCCAAATCAAGACGGAAAACTCACTTACATCGAATATTCCTGGTATTGGTGTAGGGCAGGCATCGCACCCTGGTCAGGTGCAAGATCTGCCCAAAGGAAAACTATACTCCTCGCCACTACCGAAACGCAAGGCCGAGATTGAACCGGGCTCGTCACCAAAGCTGGGAGAGGCCGCGGGAGAGAAAAAGAGAAGTGCTGCATCTGAGGATCGCGTCGAGGAAACGAAGAAAGTTACAAGCGGACGGTCACTTGCTCCGCATCGAGAGCCAGATGTTCCACCAACAAAGAAATCGAAGCTAGTTAAGGAGGTTGGTGAGAAGCAAGGGAAAGAGCCGAGTGCATCAAGGGAAAGGGTGGAGAAGCCAATTAACTTAGCAAAAGAGCCAGTTGCTCCGCTGGAAAGGCGAACTCCCCCACCCAAAAAGACACCCAAACAAACCCCATCCAAGACGCCATCCCCCCCATCCCCACCAGAAAGTCCAACCCCTCCACCCAAAAGGGCGCCCAAACAAGCCCCTCCCCCTAAAAAGGCCACCAAGCCGAAAGCTCCTCCTTCCCCCTCTCCCGCACCCGTCAAACGCCCCGCCCGCAAACGCAAAGACCCCGTCCTCGCCGAGCTTGAAGGTAAAGACCAGAAAGAACAGGAAGACGTGTTGCGGAAGACGAGGACAAGGGGGATTTCGAGGTCGAGATCGGGGACGCCAGTGCCGGCATACAAGGAGACAAGTGAGGACGAGGACGAGGAGGGTGATGATATGGATGAGGATGAGGATGAAGAGAGTGATAGGAAGGGTAAAGGGAGGGCTGTGGCGAAAGGAAAGGGGAAGAGGAAGAAGAAGGCGGATGAGGAGTGGGGTGGAGGGAGAGGGAAGAGGGGGAAGAAGAGAGTAGAGTAAAGTAGAGTCCGATACTGGATTTGCTGCGTAATATCCTAGTCTCTCGTTTTATTGTTGTCTCAGCCTACTATGATACTGTCAGCACTGTTTGAGCATGCGATTATCTGACATGTTGGTGCCTCAAACTGTCTCGTAGTTCAGTAAGTAGTATGTGAGCTTGTGGGTGATAGAAATTTGACTTTAATTCGAAACCAGCGGTTGATTTGAATGACTGATGTCACGGTAGGTAAACACGTACACATGCATGCAACCACCCCCGTGCTACGAACTGATCTGCGATCTACCAACCATTTACCATTCAGCTCGAGAAATTTCGAAATACATCGATCGTCAGAGTCCCTAGTATTACCGAGACTTTGCAACTATCTGGGAAGACCTGATAAAACGCATCCCACTTTTTACAGCGCTCCACCTACAATACCAAGACATGAATCGGTCTCTGAAACATCAACAAACGATATTATGGGAGGTCAAATAGTGCCATCAGAAACCGGTCTGCCTATTACCCCATGCGTCCAATCCGTTCCAGGGGCTCTGATATTAAAGTGAAAGTAACACAGGGAGACACGAGCACAATAACCCAGAAGTTCGGAGTCTCGAATCCATTTACCGAATCCTCTTCGACTGCAAGAACTAATTTAGTGCGGTCAATATCGCTGCCTACTACACTCAAATTTGCCTCATGTGTTGTAGCAAGAGGAGGCATACCTACTCCACAGAGAAGTTTGTCTACGCTTCCTCTAGGTGTTCAAATCGACCACACAACTCAAACCCTGGATCACGAGACAGCAGCACTAAATGGCGTCTTACTATATCATTCATCTCGGACACGGATTGTTTTCATGGATCATGATGGCGAGGGCCTTATTCAGTTGACCCAGAGTCAGAGAATTAAAAGGTGCTCTTCTTTCGCTGTATTCGGGACAAACTCAGCACGTTCCAATAGTCTCAAGCGCTTTCATACAGTTAAAGACAAACGAGCCCAAGTAGCAGAGCCAGTAGAGGTACCTTTCATCGGCCTCTTTCGTTCTAGTTCCCTTGAAAGCGCATATTTCTAGCAATCCATACACCTGCTGCAAGCCGCAAAGTCAAGCATCCGAAAGACAGCTGGAGCAAGACACCGGTTCCGTCGGGACAAGGCATTTTTGAATGGTCACGCGTCTTTGATGCGTAGAGCATATCCTGAGGTACACTGCGACTTTTGTAAAAGAGTGTTCGAGGGTAGCGATCAGAAGCGCAAACTGGCCAGGCATAAACGTAAAGTCCACGCCTGCCCTGCTCCAAGCTCGGGACGGGACCCAAAAGTATCTCAATAAGCCCAGGCAGTGTGGTGGACCATAGGTCCTCATAAAAGCCGTATATACACAGATTTAAGCCACCTGCTTCACCATCGCTCATTGTTCAGTCAAGTCTTCTTACCGATGCATTGGCCGGGATCACAGACATCGGGTTGTGAGAATTCCCTCGTTAAACAGTTCAAAATCCTATGGCCTTAGTGCATTTTAAGCACGCGGGAGCACTGCACAGAGTGGTTAATTTGATAGATAGATAACTAGACCCTTTTGCAATTGATTTTGGTTCTCACATTCGTCCCAGCATGTAAAGCCATCATCATATCACCTTCACCGTCCGCTAGTTTGTATCTACGACGTGCAAAAGAAATGACATAGAGATGAGACAGGAGGAATGAATACAAAAGGAAACTTTTTAGGCTGTCTGGAACTGTATCTGTTCGACTTGCGCTGCTGGAGCTTTGGCTGCGGCAAGAATGGTTTGGCGGGTTGTTTTTTGGGCTGGTTGAGACTGCATGTAAGTAGAAGCTGTATTATGGCTTGCAGATGCTGCGTTCTGAGTCATCTGAGTATTCGTTGTCGAATTCTGTACTGCTGGAGCTTGAGCCGCCACAGTCTGCGGCACCATGGCTTGCGGAGTTAGTGCAGATGTATTCGGTCCCGAAACTGTTGGTGTTTGAGGTTGTAAGGAAGGTGGAGCCAGACTTGCGGGTGCTGACGTTTGGGTCGCCTCAAGGCTTTGTACGGCTGAGCTAGTACCTGTTGCTTGCTTTTGCTTTTCCATTGCGGCTCTCAATTGGTTTTCGACAGATTCGTGTTCGTTCAGAATGGCATAACGCATGGCTGTGCGGTCTTTGTCCTTCGCGTTCTCCGCGAAGATATCAGCCCCATGATCAATCAAAAGCTGCACCGATGTGTTGTTCCCCTCCTTTGCGGCCAGCATCAGTATCGTCATATTCTCCGATAACCTAACCTCCAGATCGACACCGCCATCTATAAGGACCTTCATAGTCTTCTTGTGTTTTCCTTCGTACGCCAACATCAAGGCTGTTTTGTTCTTAGCATCTTTTGCGTCTTTGTCGATATTCTTTGTCGAGAGTAATTCCTTTACTATTGTATGCAGCCCCCGATCTGCAGCCAGGGAAAGAGCTGTTCGCTTGTCAAGCGTTCTTGCATGATTGGGCTCTATTTTCGGGTGTCCCGATAGCATCCAGACGACTCTCCTATGTCCCTCTTTTGCTGCCCACGATAGTGCTGTTTCGTGCTCATTGTCTTTCTTATTCACGTCAACGCCACTGAATCGATTCAACTGAAGTAGCGGGCCGACCACATTATCATGTCCCTTGCTTGCAGCCCACGATAGGGGTGTTCTGCCATCATTGTCTGCATCATCTGTTGAGGGTGTACGACTGTAGATCAGCAGCTTGACTACTTTGTCATGCCCATTCTTTGCAGCATACAATATTGGCGCCTGGTTAGTCTTATCTTTGATGTTCGCGATAGGTCCTGGATCTGGCTCAGTGTTTGAATCATTGTTTGACGCCGAACGTGAATGTTGTGATCTTTTGTCCCCGTCCAGCAGCATAGCTACCACCTTTTCGTGCCCATGCTCAGCTGCCCATGAGAGAGGTGTGCGGCCAGAGTCGTCGACTGTTCTAATCTCGGCTTTTCTCTTGAGTAACAGCTCCGTAGCCTTCACATGGCCGGCTCCGGCTGCCCACGATAGGGGCGTGCGTTTGTTCTCGTCTGCATGAGCCAGGCATGTCTTGTCTTTGGCAAGGATTTTCTTCATAATCTCGACATGCTCTCTTTTCCCTTTGGCTGCAGCACGAAGAAACGGTGTTCTCTTCTTGTTGTCGACATCGCCCTGAACATCCAACCTATCCTGTGCGAGAAGCATCTTTACAACGTCCTTGTGTCCATTTGACGAAGCCCATGAAAGGGGAGTGCGACCGCACTTGTCCTTAGAGTTCACGTCTGCTCCTCCCTCCATCAAGATCCTGGCAACTGTTGCGAATCCATTTGCCGCTGCCCATGATAAAGCGGTCCAACCTTCTTCATCTGCTGCATGCTTATTTGCATCTTCCCTTGCAAGTAGATATTTGACAACTTTCTTATGTCCTCGGCCCGCCGCCCAAGACAGTGCAGTACGATCACGCTCATCTACGTCGCCAGGATCAAATTTTCCCTCGTTTATCAGGAGTTGCACGACTTCGATGTGCCCGTTGCCTGCAGCGAGACACAGTGGAGGTCGAGTCATATGCCAGTTTTGGGTAACCACAATTCCATCTTGGAGCAAAGCTCTCACAGTGTTTGCGTCTCCGCTTGATGCAGCTGCTTGGAAATCCATGTCTTAAAAATTTGCGATGGATGATTGATGTAGGGATCAAGTAAGATGAGAATGGTTCTGTCAGCTTAATAGACATCGAATGTTGGAAGAACGTTGCGAGTAAGGCTGAATGGAATGTGGAGACATTCCCGTCTTCTTATACATTTATAGAAGGCTGAGTCACGTGGAGTGATACCCGGCCACTCCGGAGCTCCTGCTCGCTTCTAGACCCCACGCCATGGAGTTATCTCCGGAAGCATTGTAGGTGAATTGGCATATCTACATCACTTTGGATGCGAAGTCAATCTGTACTAATTGGCTACGTGATTCAAGAATTGAACTGCAGGAACACCACCAACACGGCCGAGTATGCTGCTGTGGCTGCTAGCGCCTCGTACAAACGGGATCGAGTAACAGCGAGTACTACGAAGAAGATCACAATGAAACTTGAGATGACCGCAAGCCGATACAAGATCGGCTTCACGGCATTCAGTATCCAAAGAGGACCAATCAACATCGCTAGACCGACGATGGAAATAACCACGGATGAGACCTTCTCCATTCTTTGGTCATTTGGCCAGACCGTGTCCTCGTTCCTGAGGGACACGATGTTTTTTGGCGCTTCCCTGGAGAACCAGTACCTTAACCAAGGAATACCGTTACGATTGAAACGACCGCCGCCAAATGCAACTCTTTCCAAGAAATTGCGACCCGGGGATTTCATCTTGGGGTGGATTGAGATCAAGTCATCGTCGTGGTCAATATACTCGGCTTCCTTTATGTCGATGGCTGTTGGTCTGATTATCCTAAGCCAACGACGTACGAGCGAGATATCGTCCGCTTTGCAGGGTCCACGAGAGACAAGTTGCGAATAGCCATTGAGGAATGAATCTTTGTAAATGTCAGTAGAAGCTATGGATATGTCGCGCAAATGGAAAATAACATACTGTATGTCGCGAGCTTCTCAGGAAGTGTTCTTCTCACTAATTCAAGTCGATCGTCTTTGACATTGGAGAAAGGCTGGAAGGTGCCGTTGTGAATATCATCTGTTCCACGATCGCTGTAAAACTTATCCAGATGATCCAATCGCTCTTCTAGTTGCACGATTTCATTCTGGAGTGATAAGGCAACTCGCGCATTCAAGGTACCAAACCGGCGAATGACGAAGAACGACGGATCGGACGCGACCCATCTAGAGAAGACTTTATAGCCAATGTACTTCCATGGCTTTTCCTTCTCTTCGTCAGGACTGACGTTTTCTGCGCTCGAGGGGCGATGTGGACTGTCCATGATTTTCTTTGTCGTGATTGTACTTGTCTTGAGTGGACTGCACTCCTTTAGATAGCAGATAACAATTTTCATGCATCCTACCTTCAGTTGTACGGACTATGATACGGAAACAAGCGGTGGAATCGATGTGCGGCTGAGCACAAGTATTGGATTCGATGTTTTTGCAGTACCGCATGCGCCACATCAATGTACACCCGCCTGATTGGCAGGCTAATATGAATGCTATCATCAGCTTGAACACTGTGGGTTGCACCACCTGTACGTAGGCGCGAAGGACCAATTGTTTTCCGCCACATAGCGCCGATCGCATGTGGTGTGGTGATGCCTCAGTGTATTGGGTGATGAGCGCCTGAGGCCACCTTGTGATTGAACGCCGCCATACGGGTGCTAGGCAGCAATTCAGCCTGATCACTCCTGTCTGCGGGAGTGAGGTTCATCAAAATGCAAGCCGTACATAGATATAACGAAGATCTTGGAGGTGTCACTGCTCAATGCGGAACTCCGAAATAGCCTCTTGCCACAGCATTGAAGTTAAATGAATGAGCTGAATCTGACATGATAGTCTTTTCTTGTCGAAAGGGGCGACCGATGGTACACGAAAAAGTGAAGGCGGTGCAGCCGTGTAGGGGGCGCAGCGCAATCCAGAAAGGGCCACCTTCTGTTTGTGTCGTCCTATCGCTGATTGCCACCGCCAAATGCAATCATGCGCTACGCACCTGTCGCAATCTCAGCCTCGTGTCTTAGCTGCCTATAGGTGCCATCTCATCCACGCACAGGCGAAGTGAAGTGTGTCATAGCATTCAAAGAGGCGTGGAGTCTTTGGAGTGGAGCATAGCTTTTACATACCCACCCTGCGTTGTTCGGAGCCCCCCTGAATCGAAGAAAATAGATCCATCAGGAGGTCACACAGGTAACGCACGCTGCACTGGTCCGGTGGCGTGAGTTTAAAGTGATCCCTTCGCATCCGACAGTCCACCTGCATCATTCCGACATCACCACCCACTTCAAACGATCCTTCCACCGCAATCAACAAAACTTCAATATGGCAGTTGTCATCAAGCCTACAGAGAATAGAGCAGTGATGGCCAAACCACCTCCTAAAAAGCTCGACGCGGACGCCGGAGAAAGGGTTCGCAAAGAAGAACAAACTCAGTGGTCCGGTGAGTGCTTTACACCCGCCTTTTCGCTGTTTCGACTGCTCACTTACTATTCGAGCACAGTTAGGGATCCTTTCTCCTCGATAACGTTTATAAGAAATTTGGGAAAGCGTTGGAAGAACATGGCAAAGCAATGAAGATATTGCTTACCAGTGCAGTCTCGCCACAACACATAGCTTCGGCTTTTTCGATCGTCCTTACTACCACGATCAACCGTCATGAACTTCCACATCGCTTTAAACTCACCGTTCGCTCTTTGGGATAATCGAGCCAGTTATGCAGATTTGTTTTTGGAGTTATACAAATGTTGGAGTTATACAAATTCTGAAGTTGGAAATCCCATGGAGAGATAGCGTTAGCTGGCAGACTGTCAAAGTTGATATGTCTAATTTCCCCCATGGGTCCATCACGAATCAAGGTCGAACACCGTTCTGTACGTTTTAGCGGGACCAGCAAATTGTACATTATGGCGCGCTTAGCAAATGCTAGCGGGAAAGGAACGGAGCGTCGTGTTGGAGCCCATGTTTAGGCTACTCACCCCCTATAGATCTCCATGTCACCCGAAGTTATTACAGCTCCCTCATATTAAGCTTATGCTGCGCGAAAATGTTTACCAATGTCATCAAGGTCGACCGCATCTAAGGCAAAACGACTGCCGTTACTCAGCCTTCAATAACCAGTGCGCTGCATAGCTGTTCAAATCCACTGCTCCAAAGTGGAGATTGGAATCTTCACCTACGAATACTCTGCTCTACATTATCGTTCAAGCTTTATAGGTTAGAAGGAGAGCTAGGGTGTTGTTAGCGATGCTAACATTTAGAGCACATTTCTATTGCTCGCCATGAATACCACAAACACCTTTCACTTGCACTATCATGTCGTTTTGTTTCACGAGGCGGCGCTTTCTTTAGTAGAGATGCACTCGCAGCTGTTTCATAGCAGCTCGTATTGCCCTGTTAAACGAAAGAGAGAGAGAGACCGTGGAGAAGGAAGCACGACATGTCATGTTCGTAGTCAAAATTGTGTACCAAACCAATTCCCAATGAACAAAGTCTCAGTGGAGGTGTCCGCGATCACGAAGCCAACAACAAGATCAGAAATACAAGGCATATAGCACTAACGGCTCTCATAAATCCCATAAATGGCCCTCCGCATACCATCGACATAGTGACTCAAAGATCGTGCTGGTACGAAAAGTGCACATCACTGATCATGCACGTATTAAAGGTGTCACTGCTTTGACTAAATGTCACCGAACTTTAAATTCGTTCATGACCTAGCTGACACAACGAAGTCATCAGCCCCAGATCCCTGCTGGCACCGTCGTTGCACCGTCCGTCCTCTCCAACTCACCCTTTCCCAGCTCTACTGCCGCCGTCATCGCCCTCACGACCTTGACCATAACATCTTGCATATGTTTTTGCAGCACCATGCCACCATACATACCCTCCAAATCATCTCCCAGATCTTCGTTCGCCGTGGGAAACACACCCGCTGCCCTTCCATGCAACCGTTCATTCGCCGCAAACTGCAGCACGGCAGCGACAACCCGATCCATCGGCGCGAAACCAATAATGCCGAGCAGCTGACCGGCTTCACTGGCGCGGAATGCGGTATTCTGAGTCATGGCGGTCTCGATGTACCATGGCGCGACGAGATTGATGCGGACGGCGGGAGTTTCGCGGGATGCGCGATCGCGAACACCATAGAAGAGGCCACGGACACCGAACTTGGAGATGCTGTATGTGCTGCTGGAGGGATAGCCAACGTAGCCTGCAAGCGAGGAGATGAGCACGATGCTCGGCTTATAGGTATCTGAAGCATCACGCGGGAGACGGAAGTAGTGCATCGCGAGGTAGCAGGTGTTGTAGACAGCTTGCACATTGATCTCGCACCCAGTGTATGAGGGCTGTGGAGGCGGTGGCCCTTCGAGAGAGGCCGGACTTGCTGACGCCATGTCGAAAAGGTTCTTCTCACTCATGATGCCGGCGTTGGGAATGACTAAGTCGATCCTCCCACCTCCGAAAGTGATTGCTCGCTTGTACATTTCGACCTGAGCGGCGTAGGATCGCACGTCGCAGTGCACAAATTGAACTCCGAGACCCGCCGATGATAGGTCTTTTGCCGCTGCCTGGCCGCTGGCTTCATTGAGGTCCGATATGGTGACCAGAGCGCCGGCTTCGGCGATCTTCCGTGCGCATGCGAGGCCAATGCCCGCTGCACCGCCAGTGACAAGGACTGAGCGACCTCTGAGGCTCGAGACATCGAGCCGTGGCTCATTGAATGTGATGGGAATAGTTGCAGGGGCAGCCATTTTAGCGTTGTTTGTGTTGTTGGCAAGTGTCTAAGAGTGTTGGGCTGAGCTTCGCTGCTGCTGCTTCCATGAACCAAGGCTATGGTGTATCGAAAGATATGTTTACAAGGAAGTCTCCAGTATTACACAGAACAAACACCTTCGAGCAGTTATCCGATGCAGGCTTGGCTATACATACAATAAGATCCGTTGCCCTCTCTGGTCTTAGGTTGGTGCATTATAGTTTCATACTAGAGGACCCAAGAGCGAAGATGCGGGGACCTACAACCGAGTCAGCTCAGACGGCGGCAGAGCTGTACGCCGCCTGCTGAAGATCATGCCCTTATCGCTCGTATACATATGTACACTCTCAGCTGAGGGAGGCGCTTCGCCTACAACCAATGAAGGATGAGCCAGTAGATGCGGGGTAAGGGTCGCGATACCCGAAGGTGGTCAACATAGTGCCACGAGAGTGTCGACCGATTAGAGCATTCAAGGCTATAGCCAGGAACGTAAAGCAAAGTGTCGCTGAAAAGTGGTGGGAGGAAGTCTCAGTTGCGCCTCTTCGTCGCGCTTCAATGACTCCATGGAAAATTCTCGCGTAGTTCACACGGGACCAAACTCGAAACAGCGTCTTTCGCGTGTTGGACTTTGTTTGAAACTTTTCATCCCACTGTAAATGACCAGTTCCATTCTTTCAATACCTCCTCCCAGTCTTTGCGTTGCCCACATTCTTGCCTCGAGCGCCAAACTTCCTTCAGCACCTTTTGCACCATACCAACATTTTCGTATCGATTTCTTCCTTGGATACTTTCAAGTCGCTTAGTGCACATATCCGTAGCTTGTGGGTCATTCAATTCTGCACCGGCCAAGAACATCGGGTAAAGCAAACTGGACTCAGCCGGACTTCCAGGTGGTATGCGAGCGATGAATTCCATAGCGCGCGAAGCGCAACCAGGTATACGTGAGGTATGTGCTGGGGAGTTACGGTAGAGCTGGATAAGTGCAGCTAAGCGGTACGCTTCAGCCAGTGCGATCAGGTCGAGGGCTATGGTGATGTCAACGCCGAGACTGAATGGACTATCGTACGTCCAGGTCATGATGCCACTTTCGATAGACTGGAATGAGGCTTCGGTGATTTGTGGAAACGCTGAATTGCTCGACGTAACGTATTGAATTCTAGCGATGAGGTCGCATAGCTGGTACGAAATCCCCATTAGCGGATCTATGGTCGTCATGGGCATCAGTGCGCTGGTGATGGAGGCCAGGTCTTGTTCGACAGAAGAGCTCGATGGTGTTTGACCTACCCGAGCCATAAGTGAAGCTGATGCGAAATGGTAGGTGAAGTGTCGGTGCAAAGAATCCACCTCAACGCAGTCGGCTATGCTTTGCTCGAGAGGTATACTGTTCAGCAGTCTTTGAGCAGACTTCAGCTGTGATATCCATCGCGTGGAAGTGCTTCCGTTCAGTGCCTCCAGACCGACAAGTATCAGGATGATGGCAATGACCTGGTACGTATCCCGCAGTTCTCCCGATTCGGAGATTCTCTCTTTGATGAATGCATAGCAGCGGTTTTCGTGCTTCCTCGATACTGCTTTGAGATGTGCAGAGCGATCTGTATCCACTACGCGACGAGCTAGCTGGGCGGATGAGATGGCCAAAATGACATCGAGCATGCCGTTGATTTGGAAGGCCCATGGCATATAAAGTGATGTGTAGTAATTGGTTGCGCTCGTCGCGACTGATATACTTGGTATGTATGCTTCGACATAATACTGAAGGATGTGCTTCTGCTCAGAGGCTGTGTCGAGGTCACACGGCAGGATGTCCCAATAGTCGAGAGTGGAGTGCAAAGGTCCCGTGACCCGAAGGTCCGAACTGGGCTCAGTCGCACTCGAGCTCGAACTAGAACTGGAAGACGACTCGACGACGATCTTTCGCTGAGGTTGCCACTCGCATGCCAGATTCAGGCGTGCGCAGTTCGCACACTGCGGATGGTTGCTATCGCATCGCTTGCGCCTCGTCCGACATGTCAAGCACCCCGTTCTGGATCGTGGCGCAAATTTCCGTTGGCGCGGCTTGGAATCAGCCATGATCTATATCTTCGAACTCGCGACGGAAAGGCGGCTCGGATAGTCACCGAATGTGTTTGACTGCGTGCATAGTCTTAGTATGGCTATTGGGGAGGATGTCGATGTTGAGTCAATCGGAGGACGGTGTGGTTAGGCGCGATAGGCCTAAAGAGGGGCCCGACATCGCGCCTTGCTCGATGCGAGGCCACCGCCGGTACACCCGTCCGTCTTCGTCTTCCCCTTAACACTCCAAACAGCAATACGATAGAACGATGGATCAAGTCGCTCGAGAAGGCGTTCTTGGATTATGCGGCGCAGATGTAGAGAATATGACAGTCTCGCAATCAACGAGCGTTGCGACTCCACGTGCGTAGACGGTTCCTGGACACCCTGGTCGTCCCAAGCCCATATAGGAAGCATAACCATGGCCAATCTCCGAGGCCTCTTTTCCACCACTGGGCGCAATGGAGATCATCACAAGAGCTTCTGGTATAAGACGAGCAATGGCAATGATAATCTATCGATAGTAGAGACGCAAGCCTACGAGCAAGACACTCTTTGAAAACCTCTGCACGATGCATCCTTTCACCAACCTTCTGGCAGCGGCGGGAGCCATCGGTGGTGTTGTGGCGCAGGACTTCAATGTTCTGCGACAAGTTGGAGGCAACGGACAGTGGTTCCCTGGTAAATGGCCCAATCCAGTATATTCTCACTCCCTAATTGACCATGTGTAGGACCACAAGTGACTGGTATCTCTCCTGACGTGCCTGAAGGCTGCCAGATTGAGCTATCTGCTTTCTTCTCCCGCCATGGAAGTCGTTACCCTGACACTGGTGCATACAATGGATGGGTTGATATCCAGAAGCGCCTCGAGGCAGCCTCGTTCACTGTGAATGATGAGAAATTCGAGTTTCTCAAGACATGGAAGCCTGTCCTGTCAGACCCAGAGAGCCAAATCGCCCAAATTTCGGCTACTGGTGTCAAAGAGCTTCGTGAAATGGGCAAGACGTGGCGTCAACGTTACTCCGACTTGTACCAAGAGAACAGTCCATTCACCATGTGGGCCAACTACTACAAGTCGAGTCCTCGTGTGCGCGATAGTGCCCGTTACTTCGCGCAAGGTTTTGTGGGAGATAACGCCGCAAATCTCACCACCATCTACGCACTCAACGCCAGTGACCCAAGGGCTTGGATGAACTCCCTTGCCCCTAGCGATCTTTGCAAGGCCTACAACGATGAGGGTGGCAGCCCTTTCAAAGATGTATGGGACGCCATTTACGTGCCACCGATCCAAGCCAGGATCAATGCAAAGGTCCAAGGGTTCAACTTCACCGCCGGAGATGTGCAACAGATCCCATATCTATGTGGTTTTGAGACACAAATCACAGAGAGCCGAAGCCCCTTTTGCGACTTGCTCACCCAGGAGGAGATTGACAACTACGAGTATGCCCAGGACTTGCGCTACTGGTACGGAACTGGCCTTGGCTCTGATATCGAGAAGTACCAGATGCTCCCGGTTCTTGACATGGTAGCGCAACGCTTCATCGATGGACCCAACGCTGTCTACCAGAACGGCAATACGACCTTCATTCCCCCCAAGGTCATGGCATCCTTCTCGAACGATGGGCAAATCAACCAGCTCATTTCTATGCTTGGCGTCTTCGACGACCAGCCCCAACTTCCTGGTGACATGCTTCTTGCCAATAGGACCTTCCGATCAAGTCGCCTTACTCCCATGCGTGGTACTGTCGCGTTTGAGCGTCTTTCGTGTCCTGTTGACCCCTTTGAGACTTCCTGTGGTTACACTGGCGCCCCCACGAAGGATGTGTATATGCGCATACTGCTGAACGATGTCGTATACCCAGTTGTTGGCTGCACCAGCGGTCCAGGTTCTTCGTGCCCTCTCATGGAGTACCAAGGCCTCATCCGCAACAAGTTCGTCGAAGCTGGAAGTTTCGCAACACTTTGCAATGACACTACACCAGCTTACTCAAGCACGCGTAGCGCGAACTTTTACATGGACAACACTCTGCCATTCGCAAGCGTGGTGAGGCCGTAGGCCTGATGTGCGCACTCACTATTGAATGTTAGCCTATAATAGCATAATGTAATCAGTACCTCCTACATCGATTGTCATTCGTATTCTGTTGACGCAAGTTGCACGGCTGCTAGACTGTCTGTTTCCACTTTCGACCTTCTTTCAACTGCCGAAGAATCAGCACATGGTTACCGAAAAAAAATTGGTCGTTATGTTGTAGTCATCGTATCGGCGCCTCTTCGTGTCGCCAATTACATGTGTAGGGCGCTCTCAATCGCATTGATGAGTAACGCGCTCCAGATCGCCCTCGCACGTACCCGCGTCAACTCGCAGGGCGCAAGGCGTGAGATGTCGTGCGAAAATTATCCCCACCCCATAAATCCGGAACTACTATTTGGTTGGCCATGACATAGCTTTAGTCCGCTCGATAAAATGACTCGTGCGTCAACATCAAGCTGACCATTTTCCGCCGGAAACCCTCTTGGGGCGCGATGTGGCTGCTGGCCAAGCATCCCAATTGGTCACTTCTTGCGCCATGTTGGCGGTGCCGTAAACAGCACTAGCGCCATGAGAGTGCTTTTTGACATGTAAGGCGTGTTTCAACGTTGCGCATTTGTAAGAATAAGGCGTGTTAGTGGAGATGGCTAGTTGGGAGTCACAAACCATGGGTGGAAGTAAGTGACTAAGTGAAAGTATATAAATGATGATGATGGACGATCTGCATGTAAAAGCGTCATTCAATCGAAGATCATTGTGTTCAGCTCGGCTCATCATCCGACGACTAGTAGCAGCACTTCCCCAGCTCAGCTGCACGACTACCTGCATACCCACCTAGCCCAGACTCCACAAAACCTGCTGCATACCGATCCTTTTCAAGCAATAAGATGTCCGGAAACGGCCTGCAATCAT